CCCCGATCCGACAATGGTCTTGTCTAAATTTGGATCCGCTAAAAGCTCTACTATGAAGTTACAATCCAAGATCCAAACTAAATTGCAGGTTACGGTTCACTAATCCGAAGGTTCACTAGTCCGAAGGTTCACTAATCCGAAGGTTCACTAGTCCGAAGGTTCACTAGTCCGAAGGTTCACTAGTCCGAAGGTTCACTAGTCTGAAGGTTCACTAGTCCGAAGGTTCACTAGTCCGAAGGTTCACTACTCCGAAGGTTCACTACTCCGAAGGTTCACTAGTCCAAAACATATGCTGGTTTTGAATTGCAATTACGTGTTAAACTTGGCTGCTTCCCAGTTAAGCATTTTTCGTACTTGCATATACACGCACGGAAAAATTTAAATCCACTTGAAAGTCTTTTGTCCATTTAAGAAATAACTAAATGAATAAAAGGATAGCATTTAGTTTTGTGTTTGATTTTAAATGTATTTTTTAAGTAATTATTATACTTATACCGGTATAAAATTTAGAAAGATTTATAAACTTTTCTGAGTGCATATATATGTACGTGAAAAATGCAGCCTTAAACGTCCAATGACTATACGACGACTTTCAAGTTGCGCATTTTTCACATACATATATACACTTGGAAAAGTTTAAGTCTTTCTAAATTTTATACCAGTAGTATAAGTACTATTATTAACTTAAAAAATACATTTAAAATCAAACACAAAACTAAATGCTATCCTTTTATTCATTTAATTATTTCTTAAGTGGACAAAAGACTTTCAAGTGGATTTAAATTTTTCCGTGCGTGTATGCAGGTACGAAAAATGCTTAACTGGGAAGCAGCCAAGTCTAACACGTAATTGCAATTCAAAACCAGCGTATGTTTTGGACTAGTGAACCTTCGGAGTAGTGAACCTTAGGAGTAGTGAACCTTCGGAGTAGTGAACCTTCGGACTAGTGGGAAGTCACCAAATTGCAAGCAAAATCTACAATCTGAGCCAAAATACAGATAAATATAAATCCACAATCCGCTGTATTAATAAGATCCGCTAATCTGTGTAAAATATAGATAAATCAAATAAAGATAAATCCGCAATCCGCTGTATTAATAAGATCCGCTGTATTAATAAGATCCGCTGTATTAATAAGATCCGCTAATTTGTGTAAAATATTCGCCAAATCCAAAATCCGAACAACTTTTTCGGCGGAATCCAACGATCTGAAAACCTATTCACCTCCCCCCCCCCCATTGTTTTTAGTAATTCTGGTACCAGCCAAAAAATTGCTTATAATGAAATAAATTGGAGTTCATTATGACAGTCCTAGCATAAGTCATCGACTGTTATATATTAGTATGCTAATTTTGAATTGTATTTTAATAATGATGTTTCAAATGTGGGGTTCCAATGTACCTGCTGTTTAACAGCAAAATTGTTGTTCTCAAACATTGTGGGGGGGGGGACACTCCCTCTCCCCCCCCCCCCAATAGTTATGTCCTGTCTTATGCCCCTAGCCCAATGTCATTAGAAGAAATTTTGTTTGTAATTATTAAAATCTGTAGGGGAAATAAAAGTACGTAGGGGAAATAAAATTTTAAAAAAATTGTTGAACAGATGTATCATGAGCATCTAGATGAAATAAATAACTCATTATTTTCAACATTTAAATTAACCAACTGAGTTCCAGTGCTCTGACTCCTCGATGAGTAAAAGTTTTGTCTGACGTTAGATGCAATGCAACTTAATGGGTTAATTTTCTAATGGATGTTTTCTTCTGTTTTTTCAATTACAGGACAGAGCCATTAAACTGTGTAGTTTTGTAACTTCGGGT